ATTATTCTCTTAATTCTCATAACGAAACTCATCTCCATTTTATTAAGTTACACTATAGTTAATCAAAGTAATTCTTTCAAATCGTTTATTCTTAGCCAAAACATGCTATAACAAATTAGTAACTTCATATTAGATCCAAACTATTTTCCTCATCCTCGAAGCCGATCCCGTTCTCTTAAAAATATTGTTCGTACTCCATAAATTAAAACTAGTTTCATTTCTGTTTATGTGTTTCATAATTATTTTACAACTACATTATTAAAGTTAGTGAAATCACCTTTATTAAGTTATTGGTTACTATTTACCTACCAATTAAATGTTGTCCAGTTGCCTCTACATTATATTTTGAAATCATGAGTCGTGCAATTGAAAATGGAAAAAGTCATGCAATTCAACAAGTAGTTAATTAATATTTTAAAGAGGGTAATCAAGATGCACAAACAATTTTTTACCCGAACTCCAATCTCGCCGAGCTCAGCTGCTAGGTTTCTGGGAGGTTGCAAGTAGTGATCCGTGAATTATTAAAACAATTACCTACACTTGGATCTTATTACAAAACTAATCTCAAATGTATAAAGTTAAACGTGATATAAACAAAACAGAATTTTTTTCGCCGCATCCAACATCGCCACGCATATCTGCTGCAGGCTTGCTAACAGGTTGCTGATACTGATCCATGAATTATTATAACAATTGCCTTCTCTTGATTCTTATTACGAAATTCAATTATCTAAAGTTAAAATAAAAAGGTAACTAAAATTTAAAAACAATTTTTTGAACGGCCTGCAATCTTGAAGCGCTCACCTGCAGAAGACTTGCTAACAGGATGCTGATACTGATGCCAATTTTACCATAAAGTCATTAACATTATCATTATTGTCAAGTTAAACGTAAGGTAATCAAAATGCATAAACAATTTTTTAAACGGCCTCTATCACGCGCTTATTTACTCGAGGCTTGCTAGCAGTGATCTACAAATTATTAAAAGAGTTGTCTTCCTTGAATCCATATTACGAAAGTAATCTGAATGTATGAAATTACAGTTTAAGAAATCAAAATGGACAAAACGTATTCTAAGTGGCGTCTAACCTTGGCACGCTCACTGGCAAGAGACTCACTAATAGCGATCGGAAAATTATTAAAAGAGTTGTCTTCTCTTGATTCTCATAACGAAATGAATTGAATAAAGTTACATTTTAGGTAATAAAAATTGACAAACAGTTTTCGACCCAGGGCGCGCCCACCTGCAAGAGGCTCGCTAACAGCGATCCATGGATTATTAAAAGAGATGTCTTTTCTTAATTCTCATCACGAAATTAATTATATAAAGTTACACTTTAGGTAATAAAAATTGACAAACAGTGTTCGAACCGCGCCGCGCTCACCTGCAAGAGGCTCGATAACAGCGGTCCATGGATTATTAAAAGAGTTACCCTCTGTTGATTCTTTTTCCGAAATTAATTATATAAAATTACACGTTAGGTAAAAAAAATTGACAAACAATTTTCCATCCACGGCCTCCAACCGCGCCGCGCTCACCTGCAGAAGGCCGTGCCTCCAACAATCCACCACGAGTCCGTCGGCGCGCGGGGCAGCGCGGTGCGTGGCAGGCGTCGCCGGCTTCGCGGGCGTCGTCGGGCGGGGGCGTCGGAGCCACTGGCCGCCGCAGCGCCGCGGTGGCCGCCGTCGCGACGCCCGGCAGCCAGCGCGCGCATGCGTACCGCTCGGCCAATGGGGCGCCGTCGCCCCAACCACCTGTCGCTGGCGGGCCCTGCGACGCCGCTGGGGTGCCTGGCCGCCCGCTCGTCCTGCGCGAGGGGGAGAACATATCGACGTTCTGCCAAGACTACGTGCTCCTCGGAGGGTGCTAGGCGCGCTGTTTCGTCGGGAGAGGGTGGGATGGTTACTAGGTTTCGTGGGCGTTGGGGTGGGTCTGTGAGCGAGGGAGTATTTCATTGTTTCTATGCTCCGCAACTGTTTTGGTCCGAAGTTCCGTCAAGACAGTCACGTTTGAGATCAGAGGAGGCGTTGTTCCTTCCCTGCTGGAATATGAAATATGTCGCCGACCTAAACGTTGGATTTTCTCTCTCCAGGTACAGAATAAGGGGCTATTATAACACGTTGGAAAAAGCTGTGGTACTTTGCCGCCTGCCTGGCCGAAGCGAAGAGAAGGTTATGGACGTTTTCGCAAATCTACGCGCTACTCGGAG